GATAAGAAGGATGTTTCTAAAGTCCAGAAACGTGATGCAAGTGCTTCTTCCAGCTCTAAGAACTCCAAAGGGAAGTCTTACTGTAAGTTCTGCTGCAAGGAAGGACATAGACAGAAAGACTGCCAAGACTTTAAGGAGTGGCTGACGAAGAAAGGTAATCATCTTTACATGATACTTGAGTCCTTTAATTTAAATGTTCCAACTAATACATGGTGGTTTGACTCTGGTTCTATGGTTCATGTAACCAACTCACTTCAGGGATTCCTTACAATCCAGAAGCTGGAAAGAAACCGAAGAACACTTAAGCTGGGGAATGGAACAGAACTAGCTGTCGAAGCCGTGGGAACCTTAGAATTAATAATGAAAACTGGTTTATGTATTAAACTTTATGATACCTTATATATTCCTGAGATTACTCGGAATTTAGTATCAGGACCAAAGTTAGACATAGACGGTTTTGATGTTTCTCATGGTCATGGCAGACTTACTATTAGTTTCAATTCTCAAGTGTTTGGTCATGGTTTTCTGGATGGTGGTCTCTATAAATTAGAACTAGATGATGATTTTTCCAAATCTTTGTTGTCATATAATATCAATCAGACACTAACAAAGAGAAAACGAAAACGAGACTTAGAAACTTCATCCATGTTGTGAGAACTCAATCCCTAACTGCGTTTACAGGATTATCAGGTACACATGATTAAATCCCTAATTTATATTTTATATTTGAGAATTGATCAACAGAATGGTCCTTTGTTAAAATTTTCGTTAAGAACGTGGATAAAATTGTATATGCATACTTCTCTCTCTCCTCAATTAAGCTTCCTCTTCCTCCTCTCGTACTCTTTCCCAAACTCGTCGCTGAGTTTGAAGCTCTAAACCCAAAACTGAAATGATGACTCCTCTCTTAATTATTAGTCTTCTTGGTGGAACCTAAAATCAAAACTAATAAGCTTTATGGATGAGCTTTATCGGTTAGTCTCAAGAAACTGCAAAGAAAATAAACATTAAAACTCATCAATGAAGGTTATTGGTTTCGAATTTGGGTTCCACCAGTTCGACAAACAATTGAGAGAAGAGTGATGATTTCGGTTTTGAGTTCAAAGCTTCAAACTCAGCGACGGGTTTGGGAAAGGAGTGCGAGGGAAGGGAGGAAGCTTAATTAAGGAGAAAAAGAAGTGTGAATTTACAATTTTATCCACATTCTTAATGAAAATGTTAACAAAGGACCATTCGTGGAAATGAATCTAACAATTGGGGACTAAATTAGTAATATTTGATATGTAGGGACTAAATATGTAAAACGACCTATAACTAGGGATCTTTTATGGAATTTACTCTTATTATTTGGTAATGCTTTGTATTATTTATTTATGATATTTATTTGTTTTCCAGATTCAAAATCTTGTTCTTCCTTCTCTAGAATTCAATCCTACATCTAGGAAATTATAGTCAAATGTCTTCCTCCGGTAGGAAACTGCCCCTTTGACTCTTTGTTGTCCAAATAGTGAATATGAAACTCTTGTTTTTGGTAGGACTGGGCACGGCTCGTGACGGTTTGGTATTTGTAAAAAACCTATACCGTATAGTTACTATATAAATGGTTCAGTACGGTTTCAGTTTTACGCCTAAATCCATTCGGTACCATGTCGTTCGGTAAAGGGGTGGTACCGTGCCATACTAATGCCAAATCATTCCATAATAATTTGACGTTTTGAAAATATTTTTATTTATAACAAACAACTAACGTAATTAAAAAGATTAGTGCACTAATAGTTTTATGCATTCTTAGCTTTTTACTCAATAAATGTATTGATTTAACAAATAATTATTTATCTGGTGAATTTTTGCGGGTCTTACTTTGGCATCATTTGCAAAGACATGTCCAACTAAACTCATGTGAAAGAAGGATTAACCCTATCAATGAAACTTTGAATTGTGGTTGGATTGGTTACGTGCTCAATTGGATGATTCCAATATAAGAAGTTTAATTCAAATCTCTGATCATTTAGGTGTAAAGAACATGCTCATACTTAATGGCAAGTACTCAATTCAAACCTCACCACCCATTGTCCATGAATGAAAAAACGACCTTGCAAAAAGAGAGGAATAATATTCATTTGGTATTTTTTATTTCTTAATCTCTATTCCAAATAAAAAAAACAGATTGCATAGAAGGCTGATTCTAAATTTGTGTGAGTGTGTGTGTGCAAACGTACATATAAAAACTTATCTACTATATTACTAAAAGCTGATGGAGAAATCCATCCCAAATAGGCGCTGAATTTTCCCGCCATATTTGTCAATCCAATGGCTGTAAATAATAGGTACACATGGCAGCAGCTCATTAAATCTCTGTGTATAAACTCATACAATCAATTATGGACAAAAGAAAACCATCCCCACAGCACAGTACATAGTCTTAAAAGAGTCTGTCCAAGCCAATAAGATTACTAATGTACAAACAAATAAGCTGCCAGTGCCAATAAGATTACTAATGTACAAACAAATAAGCTGCCAGTGCAATGAAAGTTGCAGATAATGTCCTGTTCCACAGAATGCCTCCTCCACAGAATCATCTTCCTTGAATCTTCCATGCCATTCCCACAAAATAGCCCAGGCTTAGGCAGTGTTCATGAAGCTCAGAGTTGGACACCAAAAAACTACATTGGACTACAGTTTATACAACTCCATTAATTGTAAAATTTTAAATTTCGAGGCTCAGAATATATTTCCCATTGCTACAGAGAAAACGATAAGATCGCCATGTCTGCAACCGCGGTGGCAAATTTACGGCTAGCCTCGCCAAGATACGAATCGTTTGATGAAATATTTGTTATCAGAAAATCACATAAAAATATCGTCACAGCCTCATTCAAATGTTGATTCAATGGCACCGGACCTTATAAATAAGTTTATATTATGTTTTCAAAAAGTAGAAATTTTCTTTGGGCTCGGAATTGTTTTCCATTGCTACACAAAAAGATACGATTGCCATAGCTGTAACCACGGCGTCAAATCTTTTGGATAAGCATTGGAAAATACATAACAATATCGTCACAGCCTCTTTAATCTCACGGAATCAGTTCATTAAAGCAATGTGTAATTTCCAGCAAATTGCCCATCACTACATGGGCTATAAAGAGTCTCAGACTATAAAATATATTTTTACTATCACAGCAAAGAGGATATTAAAACGCCATGGCTGCTTCTTGATGCCTACGAAGCCACGCCAAGATACGTCTTATCCCCTTTTTTCAGTACACAAAATCACAAAACATATAAAAAAGATCATCATAGCCTCTTTAGTCTCCGTAATCAGTTCATTAAAGCAATGTGTAATTTCCAGTAATTTGCCCATAACTACATGGGGTATAAAGAGGCTCAGAATTTAAAATATTTGTTTACTATCACAACGAAAAGGATATTAAAACTCCAGGGCTGCTTCTCGATGCCTACGAAGCCACGCCAAGATACGTCTTATTCCCTTAAGTTCATTAAACACAATATCACAAAACATATAAAAAAGATCATCACAGCCTCTTATTTATTAAAACCATTCCAGCCTCAGATATAGAAATATACCATTGCTGCAAAGAAGAAATGAAATCAATTAATCACATAACCTACCAGGAACATGGTCCCTCTAATACCTTACAAATATTCATGACAACTGGTAGATAACAAAACAGTCAGATCCCACCTGACCACCAGGCATGTATTATAGCATTCAACTCATAGGACTTAAAAAACATCTCTTCTTTGAAATTGGGGACTTTCAATTGTAACCCAATATATTCCTATGGGTGTATAAATACCCTCCTCCTGTTACACACTACACACCTTTCCACTTTACTTATATAGTATATATAGTATATATAGTATATATAGTATATAGTATAAAGTATATAGTATATAGTATATATAATATATATAGTATATTACCCTAAATTTCTTTTCTCCATTGTTTTCTAAGAATAAGCGTTATATTTTTCAAAAAATGCCTGCCCTTTGGACAAGGTTGATGGAACTAAAACCATCTTCATTTCGGGCCAATTTAAAACTAAGATTATTTCGTTCCTACGATCTCATGTCCTACAGGAATGATGGAGAAATTTATGCTCGGGAGTGTATTTTTCACGACAATGAGGTATTTTTCAATTGACTTTTGTTTATTATCCACTTTTCCCCAAAGATTTTAATTTTATGGAAAATTTTTTCAGGGGAACCACATCCTTGCAGTCTATCAAAAGGAGGAAATACCAGTCTTTGGAGCAACTCTAAAAGAAGGGAAGTTATATCGAATAAGTAATCCTGCAGTTCTATCAAATAACAAACCTACCATTGTTTCAAACAAATTTAAGCTTTCACTTGGTAAAAGGACAACTATTACTGAGATTGTGGATGACCTATTCCCTAAGCATGTATTCAATTTCAAGCCATTTGGGGAGATAAATGCCCTGCAAAATTTTGAAAAGGCTCCAATGTTTGGTAATTAGTTTGCTGATTTTCTCATACCATTAACTTCTTTAAACTCATGAGTCCATTTTAATTTTAGTAATAATATAAGATATTTTTACTTGAACAGATGTAATTGGGGCCCTGTTTGTTAGTGACCCAGCAATCACCAAACCAATAAATGGTAAAGAAACCCTCATCATGGATATTAGCTTGGAAGATTTGGAGTAAGTACTTTACCAAATTCATTATCCAACTTTGTTTTAATTTAAACATTTGACAAGTCTAATGTTTAAATAACATTACATATGTTTATAGGGGGGGGAAAGAGTTACTGCACTTTGTGGGGAAAATATGCATCAGATCTTATGAAATTTGTGGAAAAAGGAGCAGTGCAACCAGTCATAGTTATTATTCAGTTTTGCAAGGCAGGGAAATATAATGGTAAGCTTTCTTTGAAATAGAAATTAAAACACAACATTCCTGCCCTAAAAATTTACCCCAAATTAAAATACAGAACAATATTTCAATTAAATAGAAATATTAATCCTAAAAATTAAATAACTTACTTAAATTACTTCACATCATTTCTTTAAAATTTCTCCTGGAACAATTAAAAAATTAATCTCTAGGGTACATTACCTAACTTTGAAACTTTGATATAAAACTAAACATAATATAATGAAGTAATATCTAATTACTGAAAATATTTAATGAAATTATGAAACTGAAAATTTAAGTCCATTTAGCAAGGATGGTGAGATGCTGTTATGAATGATTTATTCAATCCTGAAAAATATTTCTCAAATACGAAAGGAAGGGATAAATTCAAAGGAACAGTCTAAATAGAAATTAAACATACAATCTGGTGGTATTGCAACAATTTCAAAGCTCAAGTTTGATTTCATTACTTTGGCGCGAGTTTTGAGTCCCAAAAAAGAATCTATGTCAGAGTTTAATTCCCAAAAATACATAGAATGTTTTGTAACACGAATCATGAAACTAATATGAAATCTAAGGAAGCCAAAGTGTATTTGAAGCTAATATGAAATTATAGTGTCAAGATCTATATACATTTTCAACAAAAAAATTCAGTGAGATCTATGAAGATATGTTCTAGAAATAAAAATCATGCATGTTAATTGAATCAATATTATACCTTTTCCGAGGCAAAACAAATGGTCATAGATCGGAGACCCCCTCTTTACAGACCTCAAAGGTCAAAATTTTGATCAAAATTGAAACTTTTCGGATCTAGATGCAGAGGTGTAGAAGAAGAGATAGAAGCACATGTCAAAAAGGAATTACCATCGGAAATGAGGAGCGAAGAAGAGATCAAAGCATATGTTGTGTGAGAGAAGTGGGCGGCGGAAATGTAGGGTAAGGAGGAGAGTATGTTAAGAGGCCAAATATATGGGCTTAGGCCTGAGCTTATTTGAAAATTGGAATTGGGCTTGATCCTGATTTTCTTTTAAATAATCTATTGTGTGAGGTTTGGGTTCAATGGCCTAATGTTTATTAATACACATTTCTAATGTTTCAATATTTCTACTTATAATTTTTAAAATATTTATAAAGTTATGTACTAATATTTAGTATTTCTTTTTTCTATACAAAAATTAAGATTTTTATAATAATAATATTTAGCGGTGAGCAAATTAACTAGACCAATCGCAAAAACAAAAACCGAATACCAAAATAACCGAAAATTCGGTTTTGATTTCGGTTTTCATGTAAAAAGTATTTTTGGTATTTCAGTCGGTTTTCGGTTTTTTGTAACAAAAAAACGAACCGACCGCACCGATGCTTTTATTTTAAATTTTTTTATTATTATTTAGAATAAGAAAATATTTGATTAACACACATTCTTTGTTCCTCTTTCATGAAAAACTTTAATGTTTGACTTTTAAAAAAAAATTATGTTAATGTTTTGAACATATTAATAAGAAAAGTAGAACTTTTATATGTTATGGATAGTGTATATTCAAATAAAAGTTAATCTACCTTACTAAATTAATGACAATAGAAAAGTCTTAATCTAAACTAATTTAATACATATCAATCTACCTCACCGAATTAGTTTCTTGAATTTATACTAAAAAGTGAAAATAAAAGTAATTAAAATTCGGTTTTTTGATCGGTTATTTGTTGTATGGGCGGTTTTCGGTTTCGGTTCGGTCGGTTTTAGTTTATGATCGGTTCGGTTCAGTCGGTTTTCAACCATGTTAAAAAAAATCAGGTTTTTGGGTTTCAAACCGAAACCGACCGTTGCACAGCCCTAATACGGAGTAATATTTATACAGGTAATGTGCAAATAATTGTATATGACTGTGGACTTCTCAAAGTATCTATCAATCAAGTTTATTGCACAAACGGATAGCATTACACATTTGTAAAGTTGTGATATTTCTACTTATAATTTTTAAAATATAATTTAATTTTTAAAAAAAAAATATATTACTAATTTTTAGCATTTTTCTTTACCATCTCTATTGACACCTCATAAAAGCTTACAAGATTTATTGTGTGGAGCCACTTGCAAGCATAATCATTTAAAAAAAATCGTGCCTGCAACTATATGTTTTGATTCACTTCAATGTGTGGAAAAAATGATCATTCCATGAATAACGGAGGAGGGCCACCTACTTACACTCTGAATGGACAGAACTACCATAAAATTGAGACATTCCTTCCACGAGAAGTGCAAAATTCATAAGTTGACATAGTGGTACATTTATGATACGTCAAACAAGGTCAACAAAACGATTAAATCAAACAGGTAGACGTGTAAATTAATGTATTTGTAATACATTTTTTAACAACTATTTACTATGTGTTGTATATACAAAATCAGGATTGATGATATCGTCTCGCAAGGGATTAAAAATAATGATATGTAATTATTAAATTAGTCTATCTAACACTATAATGAATGGAGTTTATAAAGAGGCCTTTGACAATGTATGATTGATGTTAATGTACACAATTTATTTTTCTTCAGATGCTGTGTATGTATTGAATATTGTACACTCTAAAACTCACTCTTTTATGTAAGTAATTTTATTTAAAATAAACGAACAATAAGATATATAAGCGGAAGACGGACATATCTATTATTTATTAAATAAGATCGAATTTCCATTTTTTTGTAATTAGAATAAGTTTTTCTGTTCCGTGCATCGCACGGGTGATGCACTAGTATAAGACAAAAAGAAGTAATGTAACCAAAATAATATAGAAAGATTTGAGACTTAAAAACTCAAAATATTCTATTTTGCCTGGCCTGTTGTGCGCCCTGAAGCTTCAAGCAGGATTTTCCCTATTGTAACCATTGTAAACAAACACTAGAAGAATAGAAAATGAGTTTTGGAAAATATATCTTTTTCTAGAAGTCATTTTCCAGAAATTATTTCCCTTTTTCTCCCTTTCAAACGGACCCTTACACTATGTTTGGCTCAAGGGTTTTGGAAGGAAAAGAAAAGAAAATGATTTTCTCTCATTTTCCTCACCAAAATGGAAGGAATTTGGTTTTTCCTCCACTTGGTACATTTTGCCTCCTTATTTTCTTTTCCTTCCACTTTTCCTTTCTTTTCCCTCTAACCAAGCAAGAAAAATGGTTTTCCACTTCATTTTTTTTCTTTTCCTTTTCAAATTCCTTGAACCAAACATAGTGTTAATGATATTAAAAGACATTGGAAAAAGTAAAAGCAATTTGAAAAAATTTGAAAGAACTTAGTGAAATTTAACACTCTATCCGCGTAACTCAAACAGATGATTAAGAGAACTGGTTTGCTAATAGTTCGGTAGAGTGTTTTTAATGTATATCTAAATTAAATATTTATTCTAATGTATATATGAAGTAATTATTAAAATATTAAATTAATATTCTAATTTCACAAAAAAATAATCATAAAATAAAAAATATTATTACATTATAATATGAATGATTATTCTAATATATGAATTAACTAATTTTATTTTATTAAAAAATAATCATTAAATAAAAAATATTGATTATATTATAATATGAATTATCATTACAATTTTCAAATGTTATTATAAAGTCAAATCAAATTATTGATTTGAAATTTTAAATTAAATCATAATTAATCAGATCAGACCAGATCAGATCCAATCAGATCAGATCAGATCCAATCAGATCATATCAGATCAGAACTTATTAAAATCAAATCAGATCAGAAAAAATAAGTTTAACGTAACGGAGCCTTACTCTTCCTCATTAAGCCAAATGAATTTGAAAGCAAGTAGATATGCTTTATCGAATATCAACTTCGAGTATAAAACCAACTCGGAGATATACTGTGCAAGTAACACCACCTCGAGAGTAAACTCCAGAAAACACCAGCCTGGAGATATACTCTAGAAATAACACTAGCTTGAAGGTAAAAACTCTAGAAAACACCATCTCAGGGTACTGACCTGGGAAACACTCGCTCAGAGGTCCTTGTAAGAAATCCAACCACAATTTAAAGTTTCTTTGACAATGATAATCCCTCTTTCACATTAGTTTGGCTGAACGTGTCTTTGCAAATGATGTTGAAGTAAGAGCCACAGAGATTTAGATTGCCTCGAAATGAAGATAGATTGAAAGAATTCAACTGGCCGACATTGAGAACCAATTTAGACTAATTGTTATATGAAAAGTCAATTGAGGTTAAACTCAACATTTTGGCAAATGAAGTTGGAATGCTCTCTCTTAGGTAATTTTGAAAAAGATTTTGATAGTTTAAGGACTCTATACTAGTGATCTCTGTAGAAATTTCAACGGATAAATAATTATTTGATAAACCAATTGCCTTTAGCCTCTTCAGATATCCTATTTTCCACGGTATTACTCTAGTAAAATTGTTGCCAGCGAGATTGAGGTGGGTGAGATACTTCATATTCCAGCAGGCAGAACACTCCTGCTAAGATCTACTAGATGAAGTATTTCGGTCACTTCAATCTCAGCAGCAACCATTTCCCCGGAGTTATACCGGAGGAAAAAGGGTCTTGGAAGAAGCTGAAGGCAATGGATTTATCAAATAATTATTTATCTAGTGAAATTCCTACCAAAATCACAAGTATGGAGTCCTTAAACTATCTAAATCTTTCTCGGAATCATGTGTGGGAACATTTCATCTTCATTTGCAAAAATGCTTCAGTTGACTTCTCATATAACAATTTGTCTGGATTGGTTCCCAATATCAGTTAGTTTAAGTCTTTCAATCTATCTTCATTTCGAGACAGTCTGAATTTTTGCGGCTCTTACTTTGGCATCATTTACAAAGACATGTCCAACTAAACTTCTTAATGAAATCGTCCAAAAATTCAAATCTCAGATCACTTGTTTACCTATGTAGCATGGTGAGTTTCACCGACAGATGCTTACTTCTAATATCGAAATCGATATAATTCCTACGTAAAATCATGTTTACCTGAAATGGAAAGGGAGGAAAACAATGAAATTAGAGCTTGAAAGAAGTAGTTAAAATAAGGTGAAAGGAGCAAGACCTCAGTATAGTATCTGGTCTCCAAGTCCAGACTCCAGACATCCATTACTAGAATTCACACTTCAAATTCTACTAAAATTTAGGTGTAAAGAACATGCTCATACTTAATGGAAACTGGAAAGTACTCTATTCAAACCTCACCACCCATTGTCCATGAACGCAAAAACGACCATGCAAAAAGAGAGGAATAATATTCATTTCGTATTTTGTATTTCTTAATCTCTATCCCAAAAAAAACAAAAAAACAGATTGCATAGAAGGCAGATTCTAAGTTTTTGTGTGTGTGTGCAAACGTACATATAGAAACTTATAAGATGAAAAGAAGTAATGTAACCAAAATAATATAGACAGATTTGAGACTTTTAAAAACTCAAAATATTCTATTTCGCCTTGCCTGAAGCTTCAAGCAGAATGGCACTTCTTGCATACATGTCCAACTATCCAAATCTTCCCACAATGGTAGCAGAAGTCGCAACCACACCTACAAAAACAAATCTATTAGAACAATTACATATTGCACATGATCAAGGTGTATATACTATACAAATGACTTAAAAAGCAAGTCAAAGAACCATGAAAATGCAACTCCCTCCGTCCCAATAAAAGGTTCTACCTTTGATTTAGCACGAAGATTAAGAAAGTGAAATTATGTTGTTGAAATTGATGCAAAGGAGATAAATTATAAGGACCACAATTTTTTCTAAATGTGGAAAGTGGTACCTTTTTTTGGGACAAACAAAAAAGTAAATGTGCAACCTATTTATGAGAAGAAAGGAGTATAAAAATGATGCAAATCATTAGAACCTGCATTAGGGTTGTAAATGATACAAAAAAATTTGCTTCGATTGGTAATTGTTTGTACTTAGTTGTATTCAAAGAAGCCAAATCCAAATACGAATACCAATAGTATTTTCCGTTCATTATATTAACGAATACGAAAACATAACTATTTGATCTAGTAAATATTTGAATATACTTGAATATTTATATAAATCAAAATACTCAATAAAAAATTACGCATACTTAGTACTCCCTCCGTCCCTTAAACTCCTTCCCCTTTCTTTTTTTCTTGTCCCACTAACTCCTTCCCTTATCTATTAAAAAACCACTTTTACCCCTTATTTTTTCATACCCTACCTATGACATCATACCTTTTTACTAATAATCTATCCATCACATCTTACTTTTATCCATCACATCAAGGATATTTTTGGAAAGTCAACACCAAAATATCCCTCCCTTAATTTTTCAAAAAGTCAATAAGGGAAGGACTTTAAGGGACGGAGGGAGTATTAAACATCCTCTCTACATTCAAGTAGAGGTAAGGTCTACGTACCCATACCCTACTTTTGTGAGACTCTATTAGATTGTTGTTGAAGTATTAAATGTAAAAAAAGGTACAAAGGTAGAATGGACAAATAATTTGTATTAAAAAAATTGAAAACCCTAAAAATATTTTTAAATGCACCACATAGCCCCTATAAAATTACTTTTAATTTAAATCACATCTAAAAAATAGTTTAAATTTTTTTTCCCGAATTCAAATTCTAAAGCGAATTGGATATATCTCATTTCTTAATTGAATTGAAAACAAATATAAAAATCGAACTGAATACGAATACTTGCCAAAAATCCAAATAAAAATAATAATTGTTAGTATTCGATTCGATTAGATTTGTTCACAAACCTGCATCTAATGTGTTCACATCCACTGTGTCTCTGCACAAAAAATTTGCACATGGGGCATTTTTGCCAACTTTCCTTCTCGGCCAACTTGAAAAACTTGCTATCCAATTCTCTTTCATTTTTTCAACTTCTCTTCGAATTTTGGTATTCCTGACAAGTCATCATTCCATGCCATGGAACCCGACATTGTGCACAAAACAGCCGATGACACGATGGGCACTCAGCACTGGTCACAACTTCTCCTCCATCATCCACCAACAAAACCGAACAATCCTTAAAGGGGCAGTAAGTCTTCTGAGACTCAGCAATCAAAGACTCACATCTTACAGTTTCCCATCTATCAATAACTTCGAGAGGCAAACTCGTCTGAAAATGTATTGGTTTCAATTCCGAGGAGCAATTTGGGTTCGGGCATATGATCTTTAGAATGTTTTGGTGCATCTGGGTTGCGGCGTACTTGGTCATGCAGGGTACACAAAAGATGTGATTACACTCGGAATATTTAAACCTATCAGGCATTGGTTTTTCATCAAAACAGATAGCACAAATGAATTTGGAGGGTTCCCCGCTGCTCTCCTTTGTTTTAGTATTACTATTGGCAACACGATGAAGGGAAGGTGTTTCCTCAGCAGCTGCTGAGTAGAGCACTCTACATTTTGCATGGCGGAGTTTAACCCTTGGTGAGGTCACTGGAAGACCACATGGTGACCCACAAACGTTGGGAGGGCGAGGTTTTGTTAGAGCTAGATAAGCTAATCCCAGGGCTGCAGCTGTTGCAGCAACTGCAATTTTGATCATAACAACTGGAGAAATGATATGAACAAGAGAGTGTGAGGAACATAAACTAAATGCAGTAGCAATTGGAGGATTTCTATAAGATCATTTAGGTATAATTGCAGTGTTTTAGTTCTATTTTTGGACCATTTCTAATGTGGGGTAATTTACCTAAATAGGACTAAAACATAATGACTTTCTCAAAATAGGACCATATGTTTTTATTTCCCAATGTAGGACCATTGGTCATTATCTACTAGTCATTATTCAACTAAATGTCCAGCATCACTCGGACATTATTCTTCTCACTAGTCATTATTAAGTCCTATTTAGTGAATAAATTAGTTTAAGTCCTACATTGGGAAATGACTTATATTTTAGTCCTATTCAGTGCAAATTTCACATGTTTTAAACCTATGGCATTAATTAGGGACTTGAGCTATCACTATGTACTCTTATAAGAAAAAGGGAATATCACAATAAATCGAATTACACATTGTTTCAAAATGTGATCCTTAGATTCTTAAACTAACATTTGTGTTCTGCGTGAATCTCTTATTGCCCGGTGACAACTAAACATTTACACAATTTCCTCTCAATCTTAAGTAGATTGGAATCATTTAAGTGAGCCTTATTGAACTAAGAAATGAAAGGATGTAATGACATACAAGTATACAACAATTGGGGATCAAATGTGTAATGACCTTTATGTCCTCATACGCACAGAAAACAACTTAAAAAGTGTGATTTCTCCACGGTCCCAGGCCCTGTGCAAAATAGAAATTTTGGCCTTGCGCTTTATAATTACGAAATTTAAATTAATTTCATAATCCCTCCGTCCCCAATTTGATTACAATTTTTTTCTCTCCTCTCGATAACTTTTGTTTGTTTACGCGATTTCATTAAGTATTTGATAAAATAAAATATTCTTCTCACCTCTTAACTTTTGACGTAGTTTTTTAATATATAATTTTTATTTTTTATCGATATACCGATTTATAAATAAAATGATTTCAAAAAGTGAAATATTTCTCCTCGTAAACCCCAATTTGTAATCAAATAGGGGACGGAGAGAGTATTAAATATTGTATATTTGTATTAACTATATTACTATCTCTATCCCGAAAAGAACTTCAAGAAGTGCAAGAAAGTATTTAAAACAAATCTTGGCAAAAGTTTACATTAAAAAACATCCCCTTTATTTACATATTGAAAAATTGAAGTGCAAAACAATCAATCAAACTATTAGCATCTATTTCTTTTAAAGTTTCACATTCATTCTGTATCAAAACAAATCTAGACACTGCATATTAAGGCTAAATTTTAGTACCATATACTCCGTATAAATTAAAGTAAAAATTTAAAAATGTAGTAAGTAATCTTTAATAATGATAATAAAAAAACTCTAGAACTATGTAATTAGGAATTGAGAAGATAACGGTAAAGGATGAAATTAAGAAACAAACTTGGATCAGTTGGGTGGCCGGAGCGTGCAGTAGATTGGAAGGCGCAAGTACGGCGGCCTCCCTCCCTGGATTGGAGATCGATTTGTGGGTGGGAATCGACTCCTTTAATCGGACTCAACTCTTCGCACAATTGAGTTGAGAAGACCTTTTGGGCCCTGTGTTATAAAAAAGTCATTTATACATGTTTAGGAACATGGATTTAGATTTCAAATTTGGATTTGGATTTCAAATCTGGATTTGGCTTAAATTCTATGTTTGGGAAACTTAAGCACTTTGAATTAGGATTTGAATCAAATTCTTTACATTCAAAACCAAACTTAATTTGAAATCCATGCACCTCCCCTTGTCATTTGAAATTTAGAATTTCAAATTTTGGAATTGAAATGCATGAATTGAAATGAAATGCTAGTTGTCAAACACTACCTTAGAACATTCTCTCGGCAGGTGAATTTAGAGCTAGCAGATTTGGATTATTTTGGGTTCGGATAAATTTGGATTCGTGTTAAGAAATGCATTTTCATGACCGAACGTCATCAGATTCGGATCAATTCAATGGTTTATAACCTTTATTTGTTTTTAGATAAGTTCCATAAATGGTCCCCAATTATAAGTGATTTGCCATATTTAATCCAATATTATATGATATTCCATAAAAGGTCCTCAATTTTAGAAAAAATTACTACCTTCGTTCATGAGTATTTGTCCAGTTTTGATTTTTTTTGGTCAATCATTTTTAACCTTTGACCTATAATTAAATAAAATGTATATTGTATATTAATTAGGTAAAATTATATTTTAAAATTATTTTATATAACAAATCTAATAATAAAACTAGTTTGTATCAATATCTAATATCATTTTTATTAAATTTAAGGTCAAATTTACCAATTTTGATCGAAAAAAGTCAAAAGTGGACAAATTCAGAGACGGGGGGAGTATTCCTTAATTGATCCTTCAGGGACTATCCATTGAAAAACATATTTTATCATATTTGGTTAAAAGGACTATTTGTGGAATAATTCTCAAAAATTGAGGACTGTTTATAGAATACTCCCCTCGTTCGGAAATGTTCTTCACATTTGACTTTTCTTGATCAAAAATTTTAAACTTTAACTCCGATATGCGGAAAAAATACACTGTTTTATGATATAACTTGAATATCAATATATTGATATTGAAACATAGTTTTCAAATATCAAATCATTATAAAATATATCTTTGTATGAATGAATATATTAGTGGTCAAAGTGCAATCTTAGAGACCGTTAAAAGTCAAATGAGAAGAATATTTTCAAACGGAGGGAGTATCTTATAATTGGAGACTAAATATGGAAAGCTACCTATAATTGGAGACCATTTATGAAATTTACACTTTGTTTTTTGAAATTTTAAGTAATTTTTATGACGAGTAATGCTTGAGTCACAAACAAACAGTTTACAAAATTCACAAACTTGTTTTTTTAATACTTTCCTAGAAATAAGATGCACTCAAATAATAAAAGATATTTTATTTTAAAATCCACAAAAGGTAAGTTTGTGAAGTTTGTGAACTATATGTTTGTGACTCTAGCATTTTTCTTTTATGACTCAGTGTCAATGTTACGAATAAAAGGACTAAATATGCACAAGTTATAACAATATATTTCATATTAAATATCTGATTTTGAAATTTTTATTTTACAGGTTTGGTCAGATTGGGTTTGGATTCAACTTGATTTGAATCATTTTTAGCGGATCATTTCGGATTCGATTAATTTTTGGATTTGGTTTTTGATTTGGATCTCGGGTAAAAAATATGTTGGATCATTTTTTGTCAAGTCTACATGAAATTAAGGGAAATTTTTTCGTATACACTTTTGGATTATGTTTTGTTGATAACTTTTTTTTTTTTGCAAAAAGAAAAATATATCCCTAATTCAAAGTTTGAAACTGTAAAGCATCACCAATACCCAATAGAGAGATGTCGATTCACTCTAGATAAGTAACATATTTGCCTTAGAATATTAGTCCAGTTTAATTTTTTTAGAGTCAAAATTGATTAACTTTGACTATTGATTATGAAAACTTTATATTAGATATTGATACAAGAATAATTTAATTACATTTATCTAATAAAAAATTTTCAAAAACAATAATTTTATCTAATTTAATACCATGTAATTTTTAATTAATTATAGATCAAAGACCAATCTTGATTGATAGCAAAAAGTCAAAGCTGTTCGTGAGTATTTATCTAGAGTAAATTATATAAAAGATCCCCAGTTATAGGTCGTTTTACATATTTAGTCCCTACATATCAAATATTACTAATTTAGTCCCCAATTATTATATTTATTTCCACGAATGGTCCTTTGTTAACATTTCCGTTAAGAACGTGGATAAAATTGTATATTCATACTTCCCTCTCTCCTCAATTAAGCTTTCTTCCTCTTCTCATACTCTTTCCCAAACTCGTTGCTGAGTTTGAAGCTCTTAAACCCAAAATTTAAATGATCGTTCCTCCGACAAACAATTGAGAGAAGAGTGATGATTTTGGTTTAGGGTTCAAAGCTAGAAACTCAGCGACGGGTTTGTGAAAGGAGTACAAGGGAGGAGAAAGCTTAATTGAGGAGAGAAAGGAGTGTGAATTTATAATTTTATCCACGTTTTAATGAAAATGTTAACAAAGGACCATTCGTAGAAATAAATATAATAATTGGGGACCAAATTAGTAGTATTTGATATGTAGGGACTAAATATGTAAAACGACCTATAACTGGGGACCTTTTATGGAATTTACTCATTTATCTATGATCAACATATCCTCAAAAGGGCTTATATACAAATGCTTTCCATTAACACACATAATTACAGTATACATTTTTAATAGGGGAGATGCTAGGGGTACACTAAAGGTGTACCCCTAATGTACACCACATGTCTCTTTATCATTCATTTTATTTTGTTTTTATTTTTTATTTTATTTTTTGAATTTTACATGCATTTTTTTGTGGTTATGGAGAGGGTGGGGGTATTTGGGGTACACTTTTGGTGTACCCCTAGCATTTTCCTAACGAACATATAACTTTTATGATCTCTCTAATTAAAAAAATCTAAATGACATTCTCCTTTTAAGGTTTTTAAAATTTTTTTAACTCCACATTTAGCTTCATATATAATGGTGAAGTAGGTACTCCCTCCGTCCACAAATAAACTTCTCATTGCGCGTTACGATATTTGACTTTTGACTGAAGTTATTTTCAAATCATTTTATATGAAAAATGGTATAAAATTTAAAAAAAAAATTAAATATTAAAAAACTATATCAAAAGATCTACAAAACTAGAGGTGACATGACTATATTATTTTATCAAATGAGTGACGAAAATATGCCAACAAAGTGAATAAAGTTTGACCCTGTGAATAGTAAACGAAAAGTTTATTTGTGGACGAAGAGAGTATTAATTAGCAGATGGCATCGGTTCTAATTGGGTACCAATAATACTTTGTTCATAAAATTGATGGTTTGACATGTAGGTTGTATCTAATCAGCAATTCTAGTAGGCAGGGAGGCAGGGGTACAAGCGAATAGGGGATGTGAACATCAATTTTATCGAACGAAGCATCGTAGATATTCGAAAAAGACATAGCACCATAGTAGTGTAACTGTGGAATAGTTTCAACAAGACCACACCACGTATAATGATAAACATGTTTTATAAAATTATCAAATTTCATACTCAACATTTTAAAACAAATTATTACTTCTATATTCAAGGCTATAACGCACTTCTATATCCTATAACGCACGGGCATTAAGTTATGAATAATCTTTTCGAGATATGATTATACCTTTTTAAAAGTTACGTCAAACTTTAAACATGCTCCCTCCGTCCCAAAAAGTCTTTCCTGTTTCTTTTTTTGCACATCCCATAAAACACTTCTACCGACACCTAAAATGCCTAAAATTTTACAACATTTCTTCTTTATTGCGGGTAGAAGTTATTTTGAAAGTTTTTTTGGCATTCAAGGCGGGATAGAAGTGTTTTATGAGATGCGTAAAAAATAAAACATGAAAGACTTTTTGGGACGGAGGGAGTATTACACCATTTTGAGAAAGTGTGTTTTAGAATGCAAACTAGTATTTTAACCCGTGCCATGCACTGGTGGAACGAAATTGTTTTTTATTCTACAATATCAAATATTTAAACAATTTGATTTTTTTATGTTATATACCATTTAAATTTCATATATATAAGAAATATTAGCCATAATCTTTTAAGTAATTATATCAAACCATGAAATTGATATAATCAAATTACCAAATAATATCTAATATATTTTACTTGCTTTAACAATTTATTTTCTAATCTTTTCATGTTTTATAAAGTTTCATTGTAGTTTTAAAGTAAGTTTTTGGTTTATTAACTTACATGAATATTTTAATAAATATAATCAAATTGACTGCTTCGATTCAAATATATCATAAAAAATATGAAATTTATTTAGAAGTGAAGAAATATCTTATTAATTACTTAGGGCCAATTTGGTGAATTTTGTAGATATTATAAGATGTGGGTTATGAAAACTCAGAGAAATGATATGGATTGTGTAATCTGAAATGATTTTATTTGGAGAGATTAAAATTCAAGAGTTAATTAGTGATAAGCAAGGATGACTGACAACAGTAGTGGTTGGCAGTGACAATGGTAGCGAGTGGCGAAGAATAATCAACAGTTGAGAGAGATATCAAATCCCCATATTGATATCTCCCAAATTCAGGAGATATTGAGACCATCCATTTTAAAGATTTATAATATCTGGAGATATTAAATTTGATAACTCTTTTGGCTTCACCAAATACCAGAAGAGGACTATGATATCTAGAGATATCAAAACTCATATTTTTTTCCTCACCAAACACACCTTTAAAAGTTTTGTAATAATTGAATAGAAAAATATGCATAATTAGAAAATAAATTATTATAAAAACGAATATCTCTATTCTCTTCCATAATTAATTGTATCGAATGACTTCATAACTTCTTACTTTCTATAATATATTTTACGTGTCAGAAATGTCTCGTAAACAACATCACATCCCAACTTCTTAAAGATTAAAATATCAATTTTATAAATAAAGGATCAATTATAAACATATTTGATTCTTTCATATAACAATACTTTTAAACGAAAATATATCATTATCAAAATTTTGTTTTTTGTGTATGCACTTAGTTAAAAATTTGATTCATAAAAAATGTCGTTAGTCTAGAAATGGTAAGTGATAATACCAATTTTATATTTTCACTAATTTTTTGCTACATCATAATAAGTTTTATCATAAAATTATATTTTATATAATTTTTTTCCTTTAAAATTTTTATTTCAGAAATACTATATTTATCTTTCACAAATTTGATTTTATAACATAATTAATTTTATCACAGCATAACAAATAAATAAATGAATTGCTTTTTAAAACTAAAAAATATAAAAACTCAACTAATGTCACGAAGTAATAAATTCTTTATTTGTCCTAAATCTTTTCACGTAAAATTTTTCCAAAATTTGAAATCATTATTAAATTTCTATTTTAAAATAAAAAGAAAGGTCAATTCATCATTAATAGAATTTGCCACATAAGCAACCAATAAAGGCTTGCTATCTAGGGGTGGGTTCGGTTTTCACCCAAAACCAAAGACAAAACGGAAGGTAAATTGGCGGTTCGGTTCGGTTCGGTTTTGCATAAAAAATATGTAAACCGTTGGTTATTCGGTTCGGTTTTATACGGTTTTTATTTCGGTTTTTTTCGGTTTTTTCGGTTTATAAAAGTAGAAATTTATAAGCATTAAAAAATTGTAAAAACACTAATTCGACGGAGCAATAACAATATGTTGTGTTAGGTTTGGTTTTTTGGTTTGAGTGTTACACAAAAACAAAAATTAAACGGAAGGTTGTTGTATCATTCAGTTCAATTTTACATAAAAAAAATATTTGTTTACTACCCAACAAACATTTAGGAGATTCCAAATACTTCCAAAGACATTGTATGTAAAATTAATTATGAAGAATATGTGTTTTTTAGTATAATATTTTCATTTTCATTATAACATCAAAGTATTTTTTTATGTAAATATGTAAATTACTCGTATCAATATTTAATATTAATATAATTCTATATTTGGATTAGCTATTGGTGTTTATATTCATAGATTTTTTAAAAGTTTATAATAGTATGGCTAAAATGTTTAATTAATAGTTAAGAAAATAATTTTAATCGACTAGTAATTTATTAGCATTTATATTTCTATGATTTTTCTACATATCACATATATTTATATAAAAAAAGTGAAGTATCTAAGAAAGTTTGGTTTATTCGGTTCGGTTCGGTTTTTCAAAGTGAAAACCAACACAGAACCAAACACTAACGGTTCGGTTCGGTTTTTTTACATTCGGTTTCGGTTTCTTCGGTTCGGTTTTTTTTCTAGCTCGTTTCAATCGGTTTCGGTTCGGTTTGCGGTTTTTGGTTTTCCCAACCCAGCCCTATTGCTATCTCACCTTAATATAGCCCACATAAGCTTGACACTTGACGACTTTCTAGCAAACGGAGTCTCAAATATTATATTAAAGGATTTTTCAAATATTGTGATTGTGTGTTAAATTATTTATAGAGTTCGTTACTCATTTATGTTTAATTTACACGGAGTACTTTGTTTTTTTCTTCACCATTTACTCCTCGAGCTACCAGCCTAAAATGATTTGAATTCCAAAAATGAAATTCAAAGGTGATATATACAGATGTCATATCCCTAAAAACTTCTTTTCTACGATAGATGAAATTTACACTTGTTACATCCCAAGTAAGACACGTCCGCACCTAGAACATGACACCTGTCAGGCTGTCCCCGACTTCATTAATCAAAAGACAAACGGAGTAACAAAGCCTTCCCACAGCCTTTTCACGTCCACTACTACTACGAGGAAAAAATAAAATCAAAATAACGGCGAATTGGGCGTATGACGTCTCACGCGCCGCCGCAAGCTCATCCAGACGCCGGGGAGGAGAGAATGGTGACCAGAAAGCACAAGGCGGCGGAGAAACAGCCGGCGCCGCCGAAGAAGCCGAGAACCCAAAAGGACGGCGATGGCGTCGAAGCCGACATGGGAGCGGTCGAGTTTCAGAAGTTCTGCAAGGCCACGAGTGATCATCTCTCTGTCCAACAAATGCGGGAAATACTCCAAGTGAACGGCCAGGATTACTCCTCCTGCTCTGAGGATGATCTTGTCAAAAGATGGTCAGTTTTATGTACTCCCAGCTTGCTCTGTTTATCAAATTTGAATTTTTTTAAATCAATCAAAATCAATATTTGACATATAGTGATTAAACAAAAATTGCATGGTATATTTATTAAGTAACGTGATATTTTGAAAAATATTTTATACGATAAATTTAGTAAAAAAAATTTATATTCATATCCAATTTTTTTTCCCTCTGTCATAATTTTTCTAATTTTCTCAAATTTACTTTTTGTGGTTTTTAAAGATAGTTGAAAAAAAGTGAAAGTTTTCCAAAATATTTTATGAAAGTTGGATGGAGGATATTAAATGACGCGGGTGAGATCTAATAAATAAAGTAAGTGAGATAATTGTATTATTTTAAATGTGTTAAAAAGTTAATGAGAAGAACTCTCTTGACAAACAAAAAATGCATTTGGGAAAATCTTTGGCTAACGGAAGAAGTATGGATTTTATTTAATTTATACTTAGATTTTTTTTAATTTTCATAACAAAAAATCAAAATTAGACAAACATTTTAAAATGGAAGTATAAAGTTTGCATAATTCAATTAGCAAGTGTTTGAAAACTAGCCTTTCATTTCAAACCCAGAATTTGAATTCTTCAATTTCAAACAAAAAGACGAGTATATGGATTTGTAATAAAACTTTTTTATGAACGAGAGAACTTTATTTTAAATCCAAATTCAACTTTTTAAGATTCACTAACATACAATTTGAGCTAAATCAAGATTTGAAATTTAAATTCAAGCTTCTAAAGATTGCCACTAATAGAATTGCAGTAATTTAGTTTCATTTGATATTGCAGCCAAGAGATTATGTTCTATGGTCCATTGGAGAAGTGTCTGATTTGCGGAGGCGCGTTGGAGTGTGGAGGTGACGGAGTGTACCACTGCAAAGGAGATTTCTCGGAATGGTCTGCCTGCGTTTACACCACCAAAGACCCTCCAAGAACAAAAGAACTATTAAGCATTCCTGAATCCGTCAAGAAAACGCCAGCAATCTCAGATGTAAATAAATCCAAATTTCACTTGTGTTCAGATATACTTTAAGAGAAACAGTCACAAGTAGAGACCACTGTGGTTGAAACCCATGACTTCCCATTTTAGAAGAGCTGGATCACAAGATCTTTGGTACCTCTGTCCCAGTATATTTGTCTTCGGGACATTTTAGACCTCAATTAAATACAAACTATAATGTACATTTGTATAAAAGTCATTTTTTTTATTTATGTGGTTGAGAACTTTCAAAGTTTTACTTCATATTTCATTCTATTAATATGCCATACAAATTGAGGAGAAATTTGACTCAAGAAAGTCAAAGTTGACGATCACACAATGATAATTTTATGTTGATAGAGTAAAGATGCATGGATTCACGCAAGTGATCTTATACATGCATTATAATTTGGGTTTATTAGATCATCAAGAAACATGAGTACCATAAAGGGGGGCCGGAGAAAGAAGTTGCATCAATTAAGCCTCTCAGCGGTATGATGATTTCGCTCTCTGGCCGTCTTACCCGAACCCATGTAAGTAACTTTTCTTTTTCTTGATATATACTCTCTGTGTTTATATATATAAAGTTCATTCAATTCTCTTGCATGTGCAGCAATACTGGAAATCTCAGATCGAAAAGAACGGAGGACAAGTGGCAAATTCTGTCATTGGTAATACTCCCTCCCTTATTTTGCTTCTTCAGTTCCTATTTCTCTTGTCCCAATATTTTCTTCCACGTACATTGTTTATATCTTCTTTAAACAAAGTACGAATTTGATTCCATCACAGGGGTGTCTTGTTTGGTTGTCTCTCCCGCAGAGCGAGAACGAGGTGGCTCATCAAAAGTAGCCGAAGCAGTGTATGTGTTAGTGAACTGTACATAAAACAAAGGACAATTTTAAAAAAAATGCAAGTTACGAAATGGCTTCTTATCCGTTTTTTGCTGGTATGAGTACGTGTTTGATTTAATCATATAGGGAGAGGGGCATACCTGTAGTAAGAGAGGCTTGGTTGGTAGATAGCATTGAGAAATGGGAAGCCCAGCCGCTAGACGCTTATGATGTTATGAGCGACATTGCCATTGAAGGTCGAGGAATTCCCTTAGACAAGCAGGACAGCAGTGCAGAGGCACTTGAAACCATTACAGCAGAGGTATTCTTAATTATCTTCGCGATAAATTCTTGTAGCAAACACCTTTTATCGATACATACTCTTTAAAAATTTTAAGAGTATTAGTTACTATGGATAATTGCAGCTTAAGGTGTTTGGGAAGAGGGGTGTGCACAAGGACACCAAGTTGCAGGATGAAGGTGGAAGGATACTTGAAAGGGATGGACTGCTCTATAATTGTGCCCTTGCCCTTTGTGATCAAGGAAGACAGCTCAACGAGTAATATAATTCATACATTCAAGCCATTGCAAGTGTTTTTTTTCATTTGATTTATGGAATCCAAACACACCACGATCGAGTACTTCTTCGAGTATGTGTAGGTTATGCATTATGCAACTTATTGTGGACCCGGAGAAGCGTTTACACATGTACTATAGGAGGGGCAGAGTGGGTGACATTGCCCGCGTAGATGACAAACTCAAGGAGTGGGAAAATGAAGATGAAGCTGTCAAAGAGTTTGCTAAGATATTTGAAGATCTTACCGGAAATGAGTTTGAGTCCTGGGAGAGGGAGAAGAAAATCCAGAAGAAATCACACAAGTTTTTCCCTCTTGATGTGGTACTTCCATAGTAATTTTGTGTTGAATTTAGGTGAAACGGAAGGTATGGTCTCATATGTGGTTTTCATGTTTGATTTCTCAGGCTGATGGAGTAGAAGTTAGGCATGGAGGGCTTGGGCTTAGGCAACTTGGAGTTGCAGCTGCACACAGCAAGCTTGATCCAATGGTAGCAAATCTTATGAAAGTCCTCTGCAGCCAAGAAATCTATAGGTAATTAAATACCCTATACAAATATCCTAACTCTTCTTCGTTCCGTGGTATTAGTGATGATGCTTGGTGGTTATTCGTTATTTGTCATTGCATGAAGGTATGCGTTAATGGAGATGGGGCATGACTACCCCGAAGTACCAATAGGGATGCTTTCAGACACGCATTTGAAAACATGTAAGGCCGATTCTTTCAATTTCACAAACTTTGAAATACTTGTCAAGATGTAAACTTTGTCCCCTTCAAAAGCGTCCATCCAAACTGACCCTAAGAAAAGATTGTGAAATGCTAACTACCCTCAACTTTGTAGGTGAGGACACACTATTGCACTATGTGGAGAGGTTAAAAGCGGAAAAGGGAAGTGAACATGAACGCGATGCGGCGTGGGCAGAATTTAGCAATAAATGGTTCACCCTTATGCCATCTACTAGGCCATTCCGCCTAAGAGATCTTGAAGACATTGCTGATCATGTTCGTTAGTAAAACTCTATTTTAGCTTTCATTTTCTTTTGCAAAATCCAAAATATGTTCATTGGAAGTCTTAAATATAATGAAAGTTATCATTTCCCTGAAAAAAAATCAGTCCAAGTTTGTGATGATCTACAGGTTGCATCTACATTTGAGACTGTAAGAGACATCAATGTTGCCTCTCGCCTTATAGAGGACATGTCGGGTTCGACCATCGATGATCCCCTCTTTGACCGGTACAAGAAGTTGGGGTGCTCTATTTCACCCTTGGAGAAAGATTCCGATGACTACAAAATGATAGTGAAATACTTGGGTAAAACTTATGAGCCAGTCACTGTTGGAGATATAGTAAGTGTTATCATCGTTATCTATCCTAAACAGATTTTCAAATAAAAGTTCGGGTTCTAACATGGTCTGTTCTTTCCATTACTATTTCAAACAGAGTTATGGAGTGTCGGTTGAGAACATCTTTGCCGTGGAACCGAGCGCTTGCCCCTCTCTCAATGACATGAAGAAATTGCCCAACAAAGTTTTGCTCTGGTGTGGTGAGATGGAACCCCTGCTCACTCCTTTTAAGGAATTTTTGTTTATCAAAAACTATATAGTGTCACAAAACAAACTCAACCAAAAGGTGTCAGAAAGCCTCTCGGAACCAACTCTACCAAAAGCTCAAGTTTATGGTTGTAAGCCCCCAAGAGGTTTTTATATTCTAACATATAGTTTATCCCTTGCTATTCTTTTCAGGCACCCGGAGCTCGAATCTTTTGAGGCACTTGCAGAAGGGGTTTCTTCCCTCGGCTTGTTCACTTCCTGTTCCGGGCTACATGGTAATAACGAACCAACAGCGATATATATGATCTGTAAAATGGATTTAAATCCTAATTCTGTAAAAAAAAAATCCTAATTCTTGATTTGTAATTTTGTAACAGTTTGGCAAAGCAGTTGTGTGCTCAGATGCTGCAGCAGAAGCTGCAAGGTATGGTTTCACCGCGGTTGACAGGCCAGAAGGCTTCTTGCTTTTAGCTGTGGCTTCAATGGGTGATGACATCCAAGAGTTCTCAAGTCCACCCGAGGTAATAAAAAGATATTAAAAGATAGAAAAGGTTCTATAGTTGGTCCTTTAAAATGGGAGGTTTCTATATTTAATTCTCTATTACCAAATATTATGTTTGGGGTTCTTTATTTATAGGTATAGTTCTTTTTTTTGGTCTTCTACCATGTAAGTTTTAAATTGAGATTAAAAGTATAATTTCACGTCGACCCTAGGCCCAACCATGTATTCTAGTGTCGGCTTGACTAACATCTCAAAAAGAAAGACTATATGTGGATTTGGATTCCGACGACTGCAAATGTGGACTATGATTGCGGTGGGGACAAACGACACATCAGCAATGACTTCTTGTAATTGGCTATGGCAAGAAGGATATAGGGTCGATGTGAAAATACATTTTTAGCCTTCAATTTAATACCAACATTACGGAATATTAATAAAAGGACTATCCGTGGATAGGTGTACACATAAACGAAGGACAACGGATATATTATTTGGTAATAGAGGACTAAATATGAAAAAAGACCCTGATTTAAAGAGGTAATTATAGAATTCACTCAAAAAAAACTCCTTTTCAAAACATGGGCAAGTAAATTTTCTCAATGTTTACCATGGAGCATGCAGGATACTAAACCCTTAGAGGAAAAGAATATTGGGGCGAAATGCCACGGGAGGAAGAAGACAGACGAGTCGGAGCATTTTGTTTGGAGGGATGGTATCAAAGTGCCTTGCGGCCGCCTGGTTGAATCAGGCCACAAGGATAGTCCGCTGAGCTTTAATGAGTATGCTGTCTTTGATCCACAACAGGTATAATGGTGCAAAAATGGAATGTTTAAAAACTTATAACACCTAAACAAGTAGGCTCTGTTTGGAATATGACACAGCCGAACCCTTGATGACTACAGCGTCCAAAGTCTTCATTTTCCGGGTTCCAAACAGACCCTTAACGAGACTCTTCAACTGGTGTGTGTTTCCCAGGTGAGCATTAGGTTCTTGGTGGCTGTCAAATATGAAGAGCAAGACGTGGAATATGACGAGGCCGAGGCTTCTTGAACTCGAAGACGATGACACGAACCCATGTATATATTTTTGCCTAATCTCTCAACTTGCTACCCTTAAAATGGTTGTATGATATTTCCTTAGCTTAGTTAGGTTAACCAAGCTCTAACATGTTTGGTGTCAAGGAGGAGGCAGACTTGTTGCTTTTTTCCAATGTGCATAGGGCATCATATTTTGTTCATGAGATGCCCTTACTTACAGCTTCCCCTTTTAATAATGAAACCATCCATCTTTTGCACTATTGTGTTTGTGTGTTTTCATGTGTTTTGTGCCATCTGTACCATTTTTGAAGAGTAGAATAAGGTTGGTGCACAAGAAAAGTTTCTGTCTATGTAAATAGCACTAGTAGTCGTTAAATAATTCACTATGAATGCATGGTTTCCCAACAAAGCATCATTGAAGTTTTTCACACATGATGTCATTAGCCTTGTTTAAGAAGGTACATACGCATAAAACAAAGAATAAACACTTTATAAATAAAAAATTCGTTCATTGTATTTTCTTTAAGTCAAACACAGGTTAACATACGAGTCAATGAGGTCAGAGTAAAATATAATTCTTGAACTGAGTACTTTATTTTGATGTTATTAAACACACACACACACACATTGAGACAGAGAGATGGCACAACAAGCACACTTTGAATGGATATTGAGTAGTAAATAGTGTGTACACTACATCTATAATAATCAATTTTTCAACACTTCACGGTACGATATACGAGAGACACGAATTTTATCTATAAAATGCAAAAAAAATGATGAGATGTCAATTTAATGTACCACAAAGAACAAACATGATGCACTTTGAACAGTGGTACTAAATTTTATTCTTACAAAAGCATCATTAAATATCTCTACAATACTACTCCCTTCATCCCAAATTAAATGAAATGTTTATTATTTACACATTCAAATTTTATTCATTTTTTTCTTTTATCGATAGTCATTTGATAAGATAAAATAGTCATGCTGTTTTGATGTAGTATTTTAATATATATAATTTTTATTTTTTAATTCTACACTATTTTTCATATAAAATGATATGGTTTTTGACTAAACATTGTTGATACAATACATTTGAAGGGGGAAAAAAAACCATGCAAAGCCCAAGCATCATAAATGATCTTAAGGTGCTTCAACCACATTAATAGTCAGAAAAATAAGAAAAGGGTGAAGAATACCGCGAGATGATAATTTGTTTAACTAATTATGATCTGATGCAACAGCTACAATGTATGCATTCCATGAATCCTGTTGTTGAAAGTTCGTGACCTCCTCGTATTTACCGTCTTGCCCTGCCGAAAGCCCATATGAGCTTTTGATCTCTCCACTGTTTGGCATCTGTCTCATCCAAAAGTGGACAGCCCGAAATCCAGCCTCTTCCAAACAGTCCCTTACTTCAGGAAGTGACCATCTGCATTTTTTAGAAGACCAAAAAACCCATAATTTGTTGTAAAAATGCATTCTTTTTTTTATTTTCAATTTATGAAAAAAAAAACTGTGTTCTTGAAGAAGAAGTGAAAGTGACCATGGAGATGATATGGGGGACTTACAGTCTCCAGCTATAGGAAAATGCATGACGAAGTTTCCTTTGAGGCCTTTGCAGATTGAAATGAAGGCTGATTCTTGTCTTCCTCTTGATGATGTCAAACTCAGTTTGCTCCCAAACATACTTTTTGGCAGAAATCCATGCAGAATATGAAGAAACCATGAAGTAGTGCTTTTCGAATTTCGTGTATGTTGAGTTACAAAAAAAACAAATCATACCGTGAAATTAGGGAATTTCCTCTGCAGGCGAAGCTCGCACTCTGATGAAGTCCCTCCATAAAGATCCATCACAAATATGCCGCCTTTCTTGCTCAAGGCACTCAATACGTGCCCGAAATACTCGACCAGTTCTTGACGGGTATGAAGGCAGCAACAACTATAGTTAAAAGCACAGACTATGTCTCTAACGGGCAACTGAGTGTCCATTAATTTTTGGTCAGAAGAACCGTCTTCTTCTCTGCTGACACGTTTGGCCTCAAGAGGTTGCAAGACATTTCCATGAAAAAGGAATGCTCGTGAAGAGACATCAGTTCCAGTTTTGCTTAAATTGTTCTCCCTGCACCAATGCAGAGCGTCTACATCCAAATCTATTCCCACAGCTGTTCGTCTGGCGTCACTGCGAACCCACTCTGCACTGCCAAATTTCATCCACCATAAACCTAATCACAAAACATGTTTTCCAGAGTTGTAGTTTTTCTTGGTTTCTTTTTTGCCTTCACTCAACATTCTATTGTTATACATATAGAATATATATTACAACTGAAAAGACCAAATACTACCTCAATCACAGGCTTGTTTAACAATGGTACAACAATGTAAGAACTCATTGTAGCATGAACAAAGTACGAACATAGACATAAGAACTAAGAAAATCATCAATACTAACTGCTTAAATTTATCTGTTGGATTAGTTAAATATACTAAAAGAAACTTGTTTCCAAACTTTTCTTTGAAAATATTACATCGAATATTGTGAAATAGAGGTAGAACTCTATTTTACATGTGTAATCTTCCTCCTGGATTCAGTGATGGAGTTTGCTAATGAGAATTGATCTCTTTGCTTATGTTTAAACAGATGTGAAATAGCTGTGAAATTCTAGTTAAGAGGTCCTATCAGGAAAACAGAAAAAATAATAGAAAAAAAAGTTCATGCATTAATCATTAGAGATTTAGAGCCCATCATTAGAGCATGAGAAAGACCAAGACTTAGCACTAGACTTAGATGACTTGGACATATACTTGATGTATAGTCTTTCAGAGATTAATCAGTGTTTTATTCCTCTTCCTACCTTTGAACTAAACTCAGCCAATTCAGAAATACGTTACAGAGTATTTATTAAAAATTACTCCCTTTATTTTCTTTCAATATGACTCGGGACAAGAACAAGTTCTATGCTATGAATCTTTTTTGGAGATCCTGAGGATACTAAATTGACAATGCGAATCATTTTAAGGAAATTTTAAATTTTTCCAACCAAAACTTCAAAATTGAAAATAGAACCTCTCTGATAATGTAAATCACTGACTAGGTAATTGAATGTACCTCAAGAGAGCAGTGCCACAGAAATCTTCCTGGAGATGGAGAGGGACCCTTCCTCCGACGTACATCAAAAAGAACTTCTGCAGATAGCTTATGTCCCCTTTCGGAGACTGCGCCCCAATAAAGATGAAGAAGTATATTAGCAGCAGCAACAAAAAACAACGAGAAAAAAAACTATGGATCTTGTGTAGAGGGGGATTTGCCTGCCTGAACGGATTGCTGATAAAGCGCGAATTTTGAAGGCGGATCATTGGTGGGTGCAGGTAAATCTCCATCGATTTCGTCCTTGTTTTCTTCCTCTTCTTCTTCTTCGTGTTCTTGTTGGAGATCTTGAGCGGGCGGGTATTGGTCCCCAGCTTCTACTTCGTCTTCTCCGAGAAAGGGGGTGTTTCTTGCTCCTCTGCGGTGGTTGTTTTGCTTCTTCCCGTGCTTTCCCATTGTCACCCACTTCCAACGGCCAGAGTGCTCCTACAGGGTTTAAGCATTGGGGTATGAAACCCATTAGTAAATCTGGGGCAAATTACTCCGTATGTTATAAATCGGGTGGTACCTCAACAAAGAAATTATTTATGGTATGAAATTTATATACTAGACTCGTAGCCGTGCGATGCACGGATTGTAAAATTAATTATGTTTAGTCATGATTTGAAATAATATAAAATGATACAAAATTTAAAACGTAACAAATTTTATAAAAATAACCCAAAATAAGGTAGTGCACATTAAGGACCGAAGACGATATGCAATGTTATAAGTTTTGAAACACTTCTTTATAAACTACATTCGTAGTTTGGTTTGCTGACAGAAGGTCTTTATTGCAAATCAATATTTTTAACCCCTCGCGACTTGTAACACGTGAAATTGCAACATAGTGTTGACCATGACTGAATACCAGTTTCTTCAGTAAGAATCCAACATGGGACAAAGATTGGCCCTGACTTTTATTAATTGTCATAGCGCATGAAGTCATGATTGGGAATACCATTGTATAATTTAACTTTGTTAATTGGCCATTTTCTGACTTGGCCATTAATGGTTTAAATCGGATCAGATACTAAAATACAAAACCGTGTTCGCATCAGTCGGATATTGGATATATCCATATCCGCTTCCAAATTTTAAAATAATCTTAAACAATATTTCAACTATAATTTGTGACGGGATAATTATTTTCTTTGTTTTCATGATTTGTGATATTCTAAAATAATTTTATTTGATAAAAATATATACACAGCACACATATACATATATTTTTATATGTCTATGCATATTTTATGTGTGTATACTTTTATTTTATATATAATAATCTCTTATACTTTGGAATCTCAATAGAGAAACAAAATATAAACATACATTTTCATATGTCAAACCCGAATCCGACCTGACCGACGAGCTAAAAATGGGTCAAACACGAATCCGACCTGACCCGCACGCTAATCTAAGATGTTTTCAGAATCATCCTTTTTAATATGAACTATAGTGTTATAAAAATAAGATTGTAATTATATTTTTTTTGCTTACTACTCAATTTTTGTGTATATTTCTACCATCATAATAAATTTTAATGATGTTGCATAATTAATTATCTTACATTTTTTTTTCAAAATTTCTACATATTTAAATTTTTTATTCGTAATATTGACACTAAGTCATAAAAAATTCTTAAATTTCAAAAAAATAAATGAAACTCATAACCCGTTGGGTCAACCCGAATTCGATGACACTCGTAAGAATTTTATTGCTTACCACTGGTAAAAATTTTATTGTAAGAATTTTATTGTCCATAAATAAAATCAAATTTTATTGTCCATAAATATACAACCCTTAGGTCAACCGTTACACTGCTAAGAATTTTTTTGTCCATAAATAAAATAAAATTGAAAGTGTATATTTTATAGACCTAAGCCCAATCATTCGCATCGGCCCAAATATATTTCCGGTCAGTAGAGTTAGATATTTGATGGACAATAAATCCACCAAATGATCCGACTCACAAATCGGATCGTAAGACCAAAATCAAGAACGAGAATTCGAGAATTGGGTATGTATTATTAGCTTGATTTAGCTTGTTTTTTCCCCTTTCGGGTCTCCTCTATTTATACATGAGCTCTAAACCATTAAGGTAACGCATAATCGATGGAGTCTATCTCGCCAAGGGCGCGATCCCCTTTTCCCGGCTCCGTAACGGCCAATCTGCTCCGTCTCCTTCTCCGGATTGACTCTGCCAGCTGCGCTTGGCCTGAGGTTAACTAGGCCCAGCTCCACGGGCCGGCCCAAGTTTGGGTATTTCACAGGTGCTTGACCCGAAGCTGTGTAAATGGTTCATTTGGGCCGCCCACTGGATATCGGCCCATCATAAGCCCCCCAACTCCTCAGTCCTCAACTGGGCCAAGTGGAGGAATGGGGAGTTTGCAAAGTCCACGTGGGCGCTCCAGCGGGGATCCGAGCCGTTCCTTGGATTCCGCGTGACATCTGGGCACGATCTCCACAAATAGGCAATCATGGCCTGCCGATTCGCCTTCCTATTGTCAGTTAAAAACTGCCGCTGGACGCCATCTCTTTCTTCCGCTTTCTTCACCATCATTCGTCTGCAATCTCGCTACTATCCGACCCGTTCTTCTTCCTTTCCAGGTCAGTTCCTTTTCTCGCCGCCATGATTGTTTCAGATTCCGATTCGGCTACCCCATCGTCCAATTCTCGCCAAACCGATCAATCGGCCTCTGGCCGTAACCCCGGCCACACTCAATCACCCCAACCGTCACCGTCGGCCGCGTCTGGCCATAAACGGCGTCGATTGAGGAAGCAATTCCCTTCCTCAACCTCGGTAGAAGAGGGCTCGAGGGTTGGATTGGACGAAAACATCATGGCGCTGTGCCATTGCCAGATTACTGACCGGGGATTCGCCGATGCTACTGACATGGTCGGACCTTCCATTGAAGTCATGAGACCTACCAGCACCCAAACCGCCCTGGACGCCCCTTTAGGGTTCTTCACGGTCCATCTGGCGTCTTTGAAGAAGGGGCTGCGCTTCCCACTCCACCCGCTTTTGATCGAATTCCTCAACGTGGTGGACCTTCTTCCGTGTCAGTTGGTCCCCAACTCTCACCGGTACATCGCCGGTTATTTGGTCCGGTGCAAGGTTGTAGGGGTGAAACAAACTTTGGACCATTTCCTATTCACTTTTAAGCTGACCAAGGGCCATAAGGATTGGGCGTCCTATGCCAGCCTTTCCCAGAGGTCTAGTAAGCTCTTTGCTAGTGACAAGAAGGGGTCGACCAAAGACTGGAAACCCTTCTTCGTTTTCGTCTCGACGGGGCCCGAATCTCCTTTCACGGGTTCAGGGCGCCCTTCCTTCCGCCGCATCCCATGCCCCCCATCTGATGCCACCCTTTTGTCCATCACTCGCCAACTCTGCAATAAGGGAGTTATGAACATTAAAGAGGTGGTAACAGAGGAAACCCTTGCCGGGTTGGGGTTTGAGTTTGTTCAGGATGAGCTTCGCCACCAACTCGACCTACTGAGGGACATCCCCGGGGGGCATCAGCCTGTCCAGCTGAAGGACATTCTTGAGGAAGGTCTTGACTGTGGTCCTTTTGGTAATTGACCGTTTCTTTTGCCCAGATGTTTAGTTTATCTTTTTCCAAGGCTGACCATTTCCTTTGTTTCCAGTGGAATTACAAGATTTAGGAGAAGAGATGGACGGCGATCTCCTGCTCAGTCGCTTCACTGCAGGGAGGAAGAGGAAGAGAGAGGCGAAGGGCCAGGGCAAACGCTCTTCGTCCCACCATGAGGAGAGTCCCTCCCGAGAGCCGGCTGTAATTGTAGTGGAGGACCAGGATGATGCTACCCTGGAAACGGGTGCGGTGACCGGTCATTCCCCTCCCCACTCGGTGAGGCCAGGTGGCGACCTCGCTCGGTCGTCACAAGGCGTTGCCTCGGAGCGACCTCCTTCGCCTCCCGCGGTGACCTACGAGGTGGCGACCGGGGGTCGCTCGACGAGGCTTTGCATTCCTCCTCTGCCCCAAAGCTTAGGGGACGTGCAACTGGAGACCCTGATCACCTTGCCCGCGGAGGACCAAGCTCGCATCTCGGCCGGTTCTGAGGACGACCTTGATAACATGGTCCTCTTGAGGCTAAGCCAGGTACTTGCGCTGATTCTATCTGCACTCCTTTTTTTTACGTTCTTAACCCCCATGCCTTGGTGCAGGCCACGCTGGGGATGATCGAGGTGGTCGGTACGAGACGGGGTCACCAGGCTGCCTTGGGCGAGGCGTTGAAGACATCGGAGGCCAAGCAGAAGGAATTGCAGGAGGAGGTCGCCCGACTCACAAGAGAGCTGGGGGAGAAGAAAGATCGTTGCGCGGCGCTTGCTGCAGAGAAAACTTCCAAGGAGAACCGCTGCGTCGCCCTTGAGGCAGACAAAGCCTCCTTGTCCTTGGAGGTAGAATCTGTTTCCGCTCGCGTGGTCGAGCTGGAGGGGGAAAAATCTGACCTGATCCAGCATTTGGAAGTGGAGAGGAGCGACCGGGCCCGCCATGCGGAGGAAGCGGTAGAATCCTTCAAGTCTTCTCCTGACTTCACGATGGTCGCGATGGAGCGAATGGAAGAACTAACAGCCGCTTGGCTCAAAACTGAACCTGGGGCTCAATGGATGGTCAAGGAGGGGACCAAGTCCTTCAATTGTGGACTCTTCCGCGCCCAACAGGTCTTCCGCGACAGACTAGCCCAGCTCCCCAAAGGATTCTCTCTCCCCGACCTCGGCTTTCCCCCTCCTTGCCGTTCCTTGGCCGAGTTCGACCCCAGCCCTTACTTGGACGGAGGGAGCTCAAGCGCGTCTGAAGAAGAGGAAGAAGAAGAGGAGGAAGGTGGACAGGGCGACCAGAATCCAGGAGCCAGCTTAGCCACGTCCAAAGCGGGTGCACATTCCGGCTCGACCGTCTAAACTCCCCTGTTGTTCCCCCACAGCTTTATAAACACTTGCTTTTTTTCAGTATGATTTGTCGTTTTGATACAATGCTCCTATGTTGTTCGATTTTCTGGATTCACCACGTGCTTTCCTTTTTTTTTTTGGCGTTTTGCTTCAGCACTCTCTTCTCTAGTTTAGCTGATTCGCATGTATGTTTTAGTTTGGGCCCAACTCCTAGTCCCGGCCCGTCTACTTGTCCAGGCCCAATCTCTGGACTGGCCAGCGTGCCGCCCAACTGACCCAATGCCCTTCACAGTCTTTGATTGGACCTTCGCGCGGCTCAAAGCTGCTTTATCGGTTCAGCTGCCTTGAGACTTGACCGTCTCTTCGGTTCCTTCGCCGGGCTTATTTATAAGCCCCCCTAACCTTCATTTTGTTCCATCACCAAATATTTCCCCTTTCTTCATCATTGCCATGTCTGAAGGAATTCCTGTTTCTCTGAATCTTTCCGACGGGCCGGCTCCTTCTTCGCCGGAGCCTGCCTCCTCCCCCAAGTCAGTCAATTCCAATGACTGGGGGGGGGGTTAGACCCTTACGAATTCTGCCGCCGGTTGCCTCGCCGGCAGTGGCCGTCGGTAAAACCGCCGCCA